ACCCAGGCTGGAGTGCAATGGCGCGATCTCGGCTCACCGCAACCTCCACCTCCTGGGTTCAGGCAATTCTCCTGCCTCAGACTCCTGAGTAGCTGGGATTACATGCATGTGCCACCATGCCCAGCTAATTTTTTGTATTTTTAGTAGAGACAGGGTTTCACCATGTTGACCAGGATGGTCTCGATCTCTTGATCTCGTGATCCACCCGCCTCGGCCTCCCAAAGTGCTGGGATTACAGGCATAAGCCATCTTCCCCGGCCTAATTTTTATATTATTAATAGAGACGGTTTCACCATGTTGGCCAGGCTGGTCTCAAACTCCTGACCTCAAGTGATCCACCCACCTCACTGGGATTACAGTGAGTGCTATAATTACACCTCGGCCTCCCAAAGTGCTGGAATTACAGGTGTGAACCACCACACCCGGCCAAGCACCACCACTCTTTAGGGCAGAGTCGCATTTTGCTGCATTTGCTCAAGCAAGCTCTGTGGGTCCTGTTTCCTGTCTCATTGTTGAGTATGTTTTCATATTCACCAATCTTTTCATCGCCAATCCCCATTTCTACATTTAATCACACACATCTCAGAGTGCTAGGGCTTTATTACAAATGGAGTTGACTGCTGCAGAGGCCCTTCTCCAATCTTTCTTCTCAACTTTCTTCCCTCCCAAAGACATCCCTCTAGGGAAGGTCAGTAGGCCATTAGGGAGGAGGAAATCTGGAGAGTGAAAAGGAGCACTGCTTTTATCAAAGTGCTCTGAAACATCCACTGAGTCTGAAGGCTGGTTCCAGCTGAGAATCTTCTAGTGGAAGAGGTTTAGCTCTTATCTTCAAGGTCCTTCATTTCTACGTCCTGAGGGGCTTTCGTCTTCTTTTGCCTTTTGAGCTGTGGTTCACTAGTCCTGGCTGGCTTTGTTGGGGCTTCCACTAAGTAACGGGAAGAAGGAAGTATTAATCCAAATAAATCCAGGCTTTCCCTCACCCACCTCTATCCGAGACTCACCTTCCATGGCTGCCTTGTCTTTCTGGGCAAGCCGGATCTGCTGCAGGAGTTTTCTGCGCTTCTTCCCGGACAGAGTAATGTTGGCACGTGCACTGGACCTGATGGATAGGTGAAAGTAAAGATATCTAGGACCCGAACCAACTGAGGTCACACAAATGGTTCTGGCTCTAGATAAAGTATTAAATATAGAAAAAGTATTAAAGAAAGTACTTAACATTAATTGTTAAAGTTTTGTATGTAGTAGAAACCCTAAATATTTACACTGAAGAAGCCAATGAAGGGACATAGACCCGGCGCGGCGGCTCACGCCTGTAATCCCAACACTTTGGGAGGCTGAGGTGGGAGGATGACCTGGGGTCAGGAGTTCAAGATCAGCCTTGCCAACATGGTGAAACCCAAGGAGGTGATCTGAGAGGTGAAGCTGCTTCGGAGCTCTGCAGGGCAGAGAGAAGACTCGGTGGGGACTACCAACAGGACGAGGGTCTGGTACTCACGCCCGCTTCTTGAGGTGGTGCCTCGTGATCAGCCCTTGGTCTATCACAGCCCCGATCACCCGGTGTCTCAGACGCCGCTCCCGATTTAACACCCGCCGGCGTTTGAACAGCTTCTTCTTCAGCTCCTACCCGGGAGAAATATGCGAATCAGATGGAGGCAGCGCGCCGCGACCCCGGGCTGCTCCACCCGGCAACCAGTGCCCCCCTATTGATCCCATCTCGGGCGAGACAAAAGGGCTCGGGGACGCTTGAGGAAACAAAGCCACGGCCCCCACACAGTCACCGTTCGGGGACGGTTGATCTTTCCCCCGGGAGCTCCCATAGTCGCGCCGCTACGGCAGCTCACGGTCCGTACTTCCGCTCCGCACCGGATCCGCGGGGCTCCGCCCCGGCCTTCCGCGGGCCAATCGCACCTCGGGGGCGGGTCCTTGGGCTATATAAAGGCGCTCCGTGGACTGGGAGGCCTTTTGGAGGGCGGAGAGTTGGTAAGTGTGGGTTTTACTGTAGTATCCGAATTGAGCGTCCGGGTGGAGTAGAGGTGCCGGGCGGAGGGCTCTGGACTGGGCCTCAGGACCCTCCTTTTCTTGGCGGGGACCGGGTTTGTGGTCTCGCTCCCCGTAATGTACGGAGGAAGAGGGAAAGGGCTCTGGTCCCCTCGGCGTCATGTCTTCGGTGCCGGTGGCTTCCCATCCGCTGGTTCTATCCTCAAGCGCCGAGACACCGGCATCTCGGAGCAGGGCAACCGAGATCTAGCTGTTTCCTTCACGGGGGTGCTCACACTGTCTCATTTGATTTCAGGTCTGCGGACGCTGTATCCCCTCTTCCACATCCCGCTGCAGCCAATAAAGGTCGTTCCTACCCTAGTCGGTCTGTGTCCGCGTTCCTTTTTCGGAGACTGCAGAGTTCGGGGAAGCTGTACGAGTTCTTCTGCTACGCGGAATTTGCAGATCTTTCCCTGGATCTCAGGCCTCCGGCTAGAGTAGGGTGGACACTTCACACAGGTCCTCTGGTCGACCTTACCCGGACTTACAGATGGCCGCGCTGCGTCGAATGCTCCACCTGCCGAGCCTGGTGGCAGGGGTGTGCCTCCCTTTTGCGGGTAGGGAGGTGGGGGCAGAGTGGGGAGGGCAATGTGGGTTCATCGTGACCCGAGAGCCTAGTCCCTGAAATTGTGGCTCTCAGACCCCGTCGTGGGCCGGGTGCGGTGGCTCATGCTTGTAATCCTAACATTTTTCGAGGCCCAGGCGCGCAGGTCGCTTGAGTCCAGGAGTAAAAGACCAGCCTAGGGCCACATGGTGAAACACTGTCTACAAATAAATACAAAAATTAACAGGGCATGGTGGCGCCTGTAGTCCTAGCTACTCAGGAGGCCCGGGTGGGAGGATCACCCGAGCCTGGGAAGTCGAGGCTGCAGTTAGCCATGATTGAGTCACTTCACTCCAGCCTGGGTCACAGAGTAAGAATTGCCCCTGCCCCCCCCCAAAAAAAGACCTCAGTGTCCCAGTGTGTATATGCATCGTTTTTGCAGTGGCAAGATGGAGTGACATGTACCCTCCAACCGTGTCCACAGGCTCACTGGCTGGTAGCTCCCTGGCGGACCGCTGTCTCTGGGATCGGCTCCACTCCCAGTCCTGTTTGGGCAGTGTCCCCACCTTCGACTGGTTCTTTGGATACGAAGAAGTCCAGGGGCTCCTACTGCCATTGCTGCAGGAGGCACGTGCTGCCTGTCCTCTGCGGGTCCTGGATGTGGGCTGTGGGACCTCCAGCCTATGTACTGGCCTCTACACCAAATCCCCACACCCAGTGGATGTGCTTGGGGTGGACTTTTCTTTTGTGGCTGTGGCCCACATGAACAGCCTCCTGGAGGGTGGCCAAGGCCAAACGCCTCTACGCCCTGGGCACCCTGCTTCCTGCCTCCGCTTCATGCAGGCTGATGCCCAGAACCTGGAGGCTGTGGCTTCTTCAGGTTCTTTCCAACTACTGCTGGACAAGGGCACCTGGGATGCTGTTGCCCGAGGGGGTCTGCCTAGGGCTTACCAGATGCTGTCAGAATGCTTGAGGGTTCTAAGCCCTCAGGGGACCCTGATTCAGTTCTCAGATGAGGACCCTGATGTGCGACTGCCCTGCCTGGAACAAGGGTCCTGTGGCTGGACTGTGACTGTGCAGGAGCTAGGCCCATTCAGGGGCATCACCTACTTTGCTTACTTGATTCAAGGCTCTCATTAAAGACATGTTAGTAGTCCTGACCCTAATATTTCTGTGGGCAAGGAGAGGGCTGAAGAGTGAGCTATGTCTTTCCAAGGTATCTGGCTGGCTGCAAAGTGAGAATTTGAGTCCTGGCTTCCACGTTTACTAGCTGGGTGCACTACTACTGAATGTTTCTGTGCTCCAGTTTACTCATCTGCAGAGTGGGAATAACCTGGAGTTGAAATATTTAGCACGAGGTGAGTGCTGAAAAGAGAAGTTTCAAGTGGGTCATTCCCCACTTCCAACTAACTGGAGCTCCTAAAAGCAGCGAACAGAAACTGAATCCAACCCTCTGCCCCACCGACTGGCTTGTAAATTTTTCTCACCTGTAAAAGGAGATTGTCAGAGGATGGGTATAAGGAGCTTCATAAACCTGGATGAGATGTTTGAAGGGGAGGGAGCAATACTTACCCTCAAAGCTACTGGGAGGCAGGAGATGGGAATATTCCACAAAGCTGCTTCTGCAAACACCGGACCCTGTTGCTGAGTCCCAGAAAGGACAGTGGTTGGTGGCTCCCTGACACCCCGTGTCCTCAGGAATCCAACAAGCATCTTCCTCATCCTGGTCCTGCCCCCAGCTGAGTCCAGCGTTAAATGTTCTTAAAGGAGATCTAGCATCCTGTGGGCTCCAAGCCCAGCCTGGAATGGAGAAGAGAGGGGAGTTACAGTGAAAAATATTACTGATATGAAATTACAAAACGAGGCCAGGCATGGTGGCTCATGACTGTAATCACAGCACTTTGGGAAGCCAGCCTTGGCAGATTGCTTGAGTCCAGGAGTTTCAGCCCTGGCAGTAAAGTGACCCAGCCCTAACTCTACAAAACAGCCAGGCATAGTGGCACAGTAGTCCCAACTACTCAGGAGGCTAAACTGGGATGACAGCCTGAGCACTGGGAGATTGAAGCTGCAGTGGGGCGTGATATGCTGCTGTACTCCAGCCAAAAATTACTTTCTGTGGCAGTTTTTGCTCATGAAAAAATACAGCAATTATATGACTTAACAGCCTAACTTGGCAGCCTCAATTTTCTCATTTATAAAGGGGAAATACCTTCATTGGGTTGTTCTGAAAATCAGAACAAGTAAGTGTTTAGCATAGTACCTAGCACAAAGTAAATGCTCAAAGAAATGTAGCTTTTTTTTTTTTTTTTGAGACGGAGTTTCGCTCTTGTCATCCAGGCTGGAGTGCAATGGTGCAGTCTCGGCTCACCACTACCTCCGCCTCCTGGGTTCCAGCAATTCTGCCTCAGCCTCCTGAGTAGCTGGGACTACAGGCATGCGCCATCATGCCCAGGTAATTTTTGTATTTTTAGTAGATACAGGGTTTCACCTTGTTGACCAGGTTGGTCTTGATCTCGTGACCTCATGATCCACCCGCCTCAGCCTTCCAAAGTGCTGGGATTTATAATCCACCCTGCCCAGCCAAAATGTAGCTTCTATGACAGTACACAGACATGAAAAAAAGTCTAGACGAGAAGGCATCGAAAATGTAAACTATTTTTAGGTAGTTGGACTTAAGGTAACTATCTTTTTCTGCAGGTCTCTAAAGTTCACCAACTTTGCCAACTGCCTTGACTTTCTCTCCCAGATCTTCACATTTATTGAGCACCTGCTATGTTCCTGGCACTGCTGAATGCAGGGGTCATAACTGACATCCGTCTTGGCTCTGCCCAGAACATTCAGAATGCAGTGGCCTCCTGAATGAGCTACCTCACTCACCTGGCTCTTCAATTTGGTCTTGGAAAAAGGCCTCCGCCTCCTCTTCCTCACCATCAGTGAGCAGCAGCAGCTCCTCATGGGGCCAGTGGAGATCCCCACTCTCTTCATTCACCTCAGAGGCTCCCACCACAATAGATGGCAGATGGGACTTTTGAGAGAAAACCTGAATAGGGACAGCAGGGAGGTTGGCCCAAATTGGAGGGTAAGCCAGCTGTCAGACACAAGGTGGGGAAGTACTAACCTGAATATCCTGGTGACCTTCAGCCTTGCCAATCTCTCCTCTGTCCCCGAGACGGTTGGGCAGCCTGGGACTTTCTGGATGCTGGGGGGAGCCTAGGCTATTTCTATTCCAAAGCCCATCCTCCTCGCTGCTCCCTGGCACAAGGGCCATGGTGGTGATTCTTAGGAGTGCAAGATGATTGAACTCAGAGGAGAGTACTCCTTGCCCAGTGCACCCCACAAACTGTTCCTCTAATCTTCTTTGGAGCCTGGCTCCTTAAGCACTGACGTGCTAGGCGATTATGGGCTTCCTGGGGAGGGGAAAATGCCTAAGAAGTGAGATAGGATCTTTATTTCTACTTACTCCATGGAGACACTGGGATGGCAGCAAGGGTAGGAGACAAGGGCACCTGGATTAAAGCCCTATGAGCCGAGAGTTTTGATAACAACTTGGAATTTCCTGACTCCTTTGCTTACTGATTTTCCCAAGCTGGCATGTTTATATGTTATTTAATGAATATTTTCATGGTGTTTACTCTTTGTCAGGAGCTGTTTTGTTTGCTTTACATGTAACTCATTTAATTATCCTAAAACTATGAGACAGGTACTGTTAATAAGCTTCATTTCTGATGCAGAAACCGGGGCACAAGAACTTCCCTAGGATCACAGCTAAGAGGTGTTTTCTTCTGTAAAGCAGAATTCAGTACGTCACACGAATCCAGCTTTTCGTGGCTAAAAACAAAACAGCTGGGCGTGGTAGCGCGTGCCTGTAATCCCAGCTATTCGGGAGGCTGAGGCAGAAGGATCGCTTGGGCCCAGGAGGCCGAGGCTTCAGTGAGCCGTGATCGTGCCACTGCACTCCAACCCTGGGCAACAGAGTGAGACCGTGTCTCAAAAAACAAACAAAACCACGACCTCCCCCTCCCAAAAAAAAAACCCAAACAATACCAGGTGTGTATCATGACGAGAAAAGGAACAGGTTGTTTGTAAAATAAATTTTAATGATATCGTTTCTCCAACCAGTACACTTGACTTTGAGTGTTTATTCCAGAGTTGAGGGGATGGAAAGGAGATAATAGATTGACGTGTGTATGTGTGTGGATAACCTCCACGCACTGTGTTGAAAATGCGCGGGTGACTGCAGAAAACCAGAGCACAGCTCGGCCCTCTACTGATCGGGAAACTTCGGAAGACACAAAAGTGGGCAATCATAAAACCCACGGCAACCATGAAGACACGCACTCTCCCCCTAGCAATCCTACTCTGAAATTGAGGACACAAGGTCCCCGCGCTCAGCCCTTGGTGTCAGCACCTCTTCATATCCTCAACGCCCTCAGCTAAACCTGACACCCAGGCGCTCTGGATTCTAAACGTTTCCTTGAGCAGGTCCTCTCTAGCCCGCCGCTGAACAGGTCCTCTCTAGCCCGCCGCTGAACAGGTCCTCTCTAGCCCGCCGCTTCTCTATGGTTTCCGCTATCGGGCGCTCTATCCGGCGCAGACGGACAGACACGGCGCAGCGACAGCTCGCGGCTGCGGGGGACTCCGGAGTGCGCCCCGCTGGCTGTGCAGGCGGCCATGCAGTCCTTGAGGAAAATGCTGATCACGGTCGCAGTGCTGGGCGCAGGAGCTGGCGTGGGCTACGCGCTCCTTGTTATCGTGACCCCGAGAGGGCAGCGGAAGCAGGAGATGCTGAAGGTAGAGGCAACGGGTAGTCCCGAAGTTGGGTGGGCGGGTGGAGAGCCCCGGACTGGAGCTCCTTGTGAACCTCCCTTCCTGCCCTCAGGAGATGCCACTGCAGGACCCGCTGAGCAGGGACGAGATGGCCAGGACCACGCAGCTAGTGATGGACGTTCTGAAGGAAGCAGCGACCACGCAGGAGAACGTGGCCTGGAGGAAGAACTGGATAGTTGGCGGCGAAGGCGGCAAAGGCGGGAAGTCAGCGTGAGACTGGACTTGCCCCAGTGGGCGCTGGGACCTTGGCTAGGGCGCAGGAGTCTGAGGCACCCTTTCTCCTTCGTGGGCCCAGCGGGGAGTCCGGACCGAGATGCCATTCCCAGGACTTTTTTGGGTCCTGTGAGCTGCCATCGGGTGAGCACCTTCCTCCCAAACCCTGCACTGATTGCTTTAAAGTCCGCAAAGGCTGGTCGGGCGTGGTGGCTCACGCCTGTAATCCAAGCACTTTGAGTTCAAGACCAGCCACTTTGAGTTCTGACCAACATAGTGAAACCCTGTCTTTAATTAAAAAAAAAAAAAAAAAGTCCACAAAGGTGGACAGGGCCGAGACACGAGTCGGTTGTGGTGAACTGAAAGAACCAATAAATCACGTTCCTCCATCCACATGAGCCCTGCAGTTGACGCCTATTAATGTGAGACACTCGTGGTCAGTGCTAGGGGCTCGGGCTGTAGCTGCTGTCTGTCCCACCCTACCAGGAGAGGCTGACCCAATATAGTGACCACATTTTCTTTTCTATTTGAGATGGAGTCTCACTGTCACCCAGGCTGGTGTGCAGTGGCCCGATCTCAGCTCACTGCAACCTCCGCCTCCCAGGTTCACACAATTCTCGTGTCTCAGCCTCCCGAATAGCTGAGATTACAGGCGCACACTACCACGCCCAGCTAATTTTTGTTTTTAATAGAGACAGGGTTTCACCACGTTGGCCAGCCTGGTCTCGAACTCCAGACTTCAGGTGATCCGCCCGCCTCAGCCTTCCTAAGTGGTGAGATTACAGGTGGGAGCCACTTCAACCTGTCTCGACCACATTTTCAAAACAGGTCATGGGGTGTCAGTTTGGAGTGTACTTCAGGGGGTAACAGTGGGACATTCTTGAAATCTGAACTATCCTGGAAAATCTTGTAGCAGTGGAAGCTTATACAGGACACTCAGGACTCCTGTCTTTGGAGTGAGACTGGAGGGGCATCTAGCACTTAACATATGCCACAATGCTTTCTGTGGCCATTATCTAACCTCTAGCTAAACAAGCTTAGAAGGCTTACTTACTAGTAGTAAAAGGAGTGTGCTTTGAGTCACAGATCTTGGTTCAACTCCAGTATGTAATAAACCTCAGTCCTGTTCTATGAAGTGTCATAACTACAAGGATTATTGTAAACAATTTAGAAATGTAAAGTGGTCTCCAATCTCTGAATCTGGTCAGGAGATGCCACTGAGGGGATGAAATAAAGCTGTGGGGTCCCAGCTCCACAGCCTAGTCAACCAAGTCGCTCCTCTTTTGTCTGCTTTATATTCTGTGGTTCCCAAGCAAGATTGCAACTGAAAAGAAAAGGCTGCTGTTATTAAAGTCAGAACACCAAATAAAGCTGGTTGGTTGGTTGGTTTTTGAGACAGAGTTTCACCCTTGTCGCCCAGGCTGCAGTGCAATGGCATGATCTCAACACTGCAACCTTAGCCTCCCGGGTTCAAGTGATTCTCCTGCCTCAGCCTCCCCAGGAGCTGGGACTACAGGGGTGTGCCACTACGTCAGATTTTTTTTTTTTTTTTTGAGATGGAGTTTTGCTCTTGTTACCCAGGCTGGAGTGCAATGGCACGATCTCGGCTCACCGCAACCTCCGCCTCCTGGGTTCAGGCAATTCTCCTGCCTCAGCCTCCTGAGTAGCTGGGATTACAGGAACGTGCCACCATGCCCAGCTAATGTTTTGTATTTTTAGTAGAGACGGGGTTTCACCATGTTGACCAGGATGGTCTCGATCTCTTGACCTCATGATCCACCCACCTCGGCCTCCCAAAGTGCTGGGATTATAGGCGTGAGCCACCGCGCCCGGCCCGTCAGATTTTTTTGTATTTTTAGCAGAGACGGGTTTTGCCATGTTGGGCAGGATGGTCTCGAACTCCTGACTTCAGGTTATCTGCCTGCCTGGCCCCAAATAATGCTAACACTGGGATGTAAAACCTAGATGACTGTAATCCCAGCACTTTGGGAGGCCGAGGTGTGTGGATCACGAGGTCAAGAGATCGAGACCATCCTGGTCAACATGGTGAAACCCCGTCTCTACTAAAAATACAAAAAATTAGCTGGGCATGGTGGTGCGTGCCTGTAATCCCAGCTACTCAGGAGGCTGAGGCAGGAGAATTGCCTGAACCCAGGAGGCGGAGGTTGCGGTGAGCGGAGATTGCGCCATTGCACTCCAGCCTGGGTAACGAGCGAAACTCCATCTCAAAAAAAAAAAACAAAAAAACAAAAAACCTAGATGAGCACTGGTGCTCTTTTCAGCTATTAAAACACATGTGTTATGTGTGATCTTTACAGATTAACTATAGCCTCTTCCCTAGCCAAGCAATGAGAGGGGTCAGCAGCAGTTTGACAGGATACCAGGTTGGGGTATCAACAGCCAGGGGGGCTATCATGGAGAAGCTCATCAGTGCTTCTTGGTTTTAAAAAGGAAAAAGAACAGCTGGCTGTGGTGGCTCACACCTGTAATCCCAGCACTATGGGAGGCCAAGGCAGGCAGATCACCTAAGGTCGGGAGTTCGAGACCAGCCTGACCAACATGGAGAAACCCCGTCTCTACTAAAAAAAAATTAAAAATACAAAAAATTAGCCACATGTGGTGGCACATGCCCATAATCCCAGCTACAAGGGAGGCTGAGGCAGTAGAATCGCTTGAACCCAGGAGGCAGAGGTTGCAGTGAGCCGAGATCATACCACTGCACTACAGCCTAGGAAGCAGAGCAAGACTCCATCTCAAATAAACAGAATTATCCTTTTAGTAGCTAATACTTACTAGGTACCAGGCACTATGCTAAAGCATCTTACACCATTATGTAACCTTTATGACAATCCCAAGAAACAGGCACTGTTATCCCTATTCTATTAAGAAGCAGGGCTTTTCTGGGTGAGATGTGGAATAACTTAAATCACAGTGAAAAGCAGCCTTACATCACTTAAGGTGGCAAACCCGAGGGAAAAGTATGAGAAGGATGTTGCTGACTTTAAGTTGAAAGGAAAGTTTGATGGTGCAAAAGGTCCTGCTAAAGTTTCCTGGAAAAAGGTGGAAGATGAAGAGGAGAGAGGAGGATACATAAAGAAACTTTATCTGGCCAGGCTCAGTGACTCACACTTGTAATCCCAACACTTTGGGAGGCCAAGGCGGGTGAATCACCTGAGGTCGGGAGTTCAAGACCAGCCTGACCAACATGGAGAAACCCCATCTCTACTAAAAGAAAAGAAAAATACAAAATTAGCCGGGCATGGTGGTGCATGACTGTAATCGCAACTATTCAGGAGGCAGAAACAGGAGAATCACTTGACCCCGGGTGGCAGTGGTTGCCGTAAGCTGAGACTGTGACATTGCACTCCAGCCTAGGCAACAAGAGTGAAACACCGTCTCAAAAGAAAAAAAAAACTGTTTGTCTCCTCATGAATACCTTAGAGTAGGGGAGCCCCATAATTGACACATCTCTTATTTGAGAAGTGTCTGTTGCCCTCACTAGGTTTAATTACAAAATTTGATCATGATCATATTGTTGTCTTTCAAAGTGCTCTAGAAATTGTCAGTGGTTTACATGAAGCGGCCCTGGGTGTCTGGAGCACCTTGAAACTGTATCAAAGTTATACATATTTCCAAACATTTTTTTGAGACAGGGTCTCACTCTGTTGTCCAGGCTGGAGTGCAGTGGCATGATCTCAGCTCACTGCAACCTCTGCCTCCTGGGTTCAAGTAATTCTCCTGCTTCAGTCTCTCAAGTAGCTGGGATTACAGGCATGCACCACCACACCCAGCTCATTTTTGTATTTTTAGTAAAGATGGGGTTTTACCATGTTGTCAGGCTGGTCTCTAACTCACAACCTTGTGATCCGCCCACCTCGGCCTCCCAAAGTCCCGGGATCACAGGCATGAGCCACCACGCCTGGCCTCCAAACATTTTTTAAATGAAAAGGCACTCCCCTGTTCGCCTCAAAAAAAAAAAGGAAAAAAAAAGCATTCAGGGCACAGTGGCTCACACCTGTAATCCCAGCACTTTGGGAGGCCGGATCACCTGAGGTAGGGAGTTTGAGACCATCCTGACCAAAATGGAGAAACCCATTTCTACTAAAAATACAAAATTTGCCAGGCGTGGTGGCGGGCACCTGTAATCCCAGCTACTTTGGAAGCCTAGGCAGGAGACTCACTTGAACCTGGGAGGCAGAGGTTACAGTGAGCCAAGATCGTGTTATTGTACTCCAACCTGGGCAACAGGGGTGACACTCTGTCTCAAAAAAAAAAAAAGGCCGGGCGCGGTGGCTCACGCCTGTAATCCCAGCACTTTGGGAGGCCGAGGTGGGTGGATCACGAGGTCAAGAGATCGAGACCATCCTGGCCAACATGGTGAAACCCCGTCTCTACTAAAACTACAAAAAATCAGCTGGGCCTGGTGTTGTGTGCCTGTAATCCCAGCAACTCAGGAGGCTGAGGCAGGAGAATTGCCTGAACTCAGGAGGTGGAGGTTGCGGTGAGCCGAGATCACACCATTGCACTCCAGCCTGGGTAACAAGAGCGAAACTCCGTCCCAAAAAAAAAAAAAAAAAAAAAAAAGCAGCAGCAGCTGGGCCTTTATGTTCTGTCTTACCACAGGAGTAAAAGGTGCCATCCAATGTACTTTCCACCCCTTTTAGCACTTCTCCTCCTCAACTTCCCCAGCAGTTAATCAGACCCAGAGATTAGAAACAAGTGTCTTGGCCAGGGCGGTGGCTCACGCCTGTAATCCCAGCACTTTGGGAGGCCAAGGTGGGTGGATCACGAGGTCAGGAGTTTGAGACCAGCCTGACCATGGTGAAACCCTGTCTCTATTGAAGATACAAAAATTAGCTGGGTGTGGTGGCGTCCACCTGTAATCCCAGCTATTCGGGAGGCAGAGGTTGCAGTGAGCCAAGATGTCGCCACTGCAATCCAGCCTGGGTGACAGAGCGAGACTTCATCTCAAAAAAACAAAAAACAAACAAGTGTCTTTGTTGGAAGTTAAAGATGAGGAAGAGGGTCTACTACACATTGTTCCCTTTTAGCTTCTTCCTCTGCCTTCGTTTTGTCCCTCCCAGCCATTCAGTAATGAGTCAGGCATGTACAGAACTCAGGGTCTATTTATTAGGAAGGAGATGTCAGTGCTTTACCAAAGATGAAGCGGTCACAGAGGGACAATGAGACAGGCCCTCAGCTGGGACATTTCTTGGCCACAATGAGGACAGCAGAAGGCACGAGTCCTGAAGATGGAAGAATACAGGCTTGAAACACAAGAATACTTGCCTTTTGCTCCCAAAATTCCTGATCTTGCACCATGTGCACAAAGTCCCTTCTCTTTGCCTCCCTCCTTTTCCCAGGCATGTCTCCCTACTCCCCTAAGTCCCAGTTTCTGGTCTTGCAGCCATACCCAGCTCCTGCAAAGGCCGCTCCATGTCAGCTTCTGAGAAGGCCCGTCTGGGGAAGCCACTGAGCAACTGCACAGGGTCCTGGCCCCCTCCCGGTTCCTCTCCACGGTGGAGCTCCACATAGAGCCTCACGGCTGCCAGCTGCTCCCGGGCCCGGAATGTCTGGGTCAGTGAAGTCCCATCTGGCAGCCTGACCTAAAGGGCAAGGGAGATACTCAGTATTGTGAGTATCAAAACTGAATGAAGTGCCAAAGTAAGGAAAAGAGCTAAAGCGGGCCCCTCCTCCTCCTTAGGTTGAACCAGTACAACTACTATTTAAAGCACCAAATGAACCTCTTAGGCTCTGCTTTATTAAGTGTGGATGAGAGACTCCTAGTTCCCTCAGCCTAAGAAAGACAAGGATAAGATTATACAAAAGAATCTGGATAAATACCACATCACCAGATAGCTGCATAATAAACCTAATGAAAACATGAACAAGTAAAAGGGTAACTGCTGAGTAAGAGGGAGGTATGGATTTAAATGAGACTGGGGCAGGTGAAATTTGATATCTTTCCCAAGAGTAGAGATCGAATTTCAAAAGTCATTTACAAAGAAGGGAGACATTTGGCAAAGGGCACATGAACTGAAAAAAGCTCTGAGCTGGTCACCTTACAGGCCAACAAAGGGGTCCCAGGAGCAACATAGCAATCAGAATTGGTACCTGTATGCGACACTGGTCATACTCCCGCTTGGTGGGAGGCTCCTGGCTGGGAGAGGAGGGAACAGGACCTGGCTCTGGTGCCGGTGGAGGTGGCTGAGAGCCCACACTGCCACCATACTAAAGGGCAAAGTAAAACATTCAATCAGGTACTCACCCACCCTCAGCTGAAACAGATCGTGTAACCCCATGCTTTCCCTCTGAGGCTGGAAAAGATGTACTAACCTGCCTACTTTATTACCCGCGGCGTCTTCTCAATCACCTACCTTCTTGGCTCTCTCTGCCTTGTCCCTCTCGATCTTTTCTCTAACTCTTTGTCTGGTATGTAGAAAGAAGAAACGGGGTCAGACGGCAACAAAGCAAATCCTGATTTCTTTCTCATCTGCTATCCCTCATCCCCATTGCCCAGACCTGGCTGCTAACTCCTCGGCCTTTTCCCTCCGCCTCTCCTCAGCAGCCCGGCGCATCTCATCTTCCTGTAGCCGCTGTCGTGCTGCTGACAACTCTTGCCCTTGTCTCCTGCGCTGCCGTTCCCGTTCCAATGCCTCCCGTTCCTCTCTCTCTTCACGCTCCCGCTGCTTCTGGGCCACCAGCTCCAACATCCTATGTTGCCGAGAGAAAACAGCTCAAGAGAAATGGACGGAGTGGGAAGGCGAGTTTACAACAAACAACATTAGGCGACAAATATACCAAGATGGATGAAAGAAAAGGAAAAGAAAATGCCAAAAAATGCCATTTCTTACAGTTTGCAAAAAAAAAAAAAAAAAGGAAAAGGAAATGTGGAAAGCTCCAGGTTCTCTGACCAGACTTGTGTGCTGGGGGGAGGTGGAAGACGACCCTCAGAGATGTGAGATGGTTCTTACTGTACCTCTTAGTCTGTTCCTGTCTTTCCTCTTCACTCAAAATGGGTTTGCCTTCTCCAGCAGCAGAACCAGGTCCTACAACAAGCAGTCGGTATTATTATTCTTTCAGATTCTCCTCAGGCCCTCCTGAATAATCACACCGTGTCCCCGCGTCAGGACCTTCAAGGCCGCTTTGCTCTGAGGAGGTGGGCTCCCGTCCCAGGATATGTCCAAGGGGAGTCTCTAGAGGCTCGTCCACATCGGGGTCGTCTTCGTGCTCCATCAGCCTGGCAGGGAAAGTCGGCGGGGAGGTTAGCTTTGAGGCCGCTCCTCCCGGCAGCCCCAATTCTCCGCCACCCGGAACGGATGCTCACCAGTCCATCGCAGCCTCGATGCCCTGGTTCCCTGTGAGGGCCAGAGCCTTCTCCCTGGGGGCAGAAACACCGTGAATAGCAACCACGAGCCATGGTGACCGTCAGGCTGGGGCCAAGGCCGGGACAAGTCCGCGGCCCCCCACCCCCGCACGCCGGGGTTCGGGGGCTTCCTTACGCGCGTCCCCTGGGGAAGCCCATCTCGATGAGACTCTCAAGAGCCGTCAGCTCCGCCATGGCGCCGCCACCGCCGCTTCCGCGGGGACCTGGTGTGACGAGAAGGAGGGCGAGAAGGGTCAGCGCGAGGCAACCCGCTCTCGATGCCCGCTGACGGGCGCTCGCTCGCTCACCCGGCTCTAGAGCAGCCGGAGACACTGATGAGAAGAAAGCCGAGGGGAAGCGGAAGTGCCGGATCTGTTTGGGTCACGTGGGGACGGACGTGGACGGGTGCCGCTGAGAACCAGAAAACTTCTGGCCCTGCTGCCAGGACTTTGCGTGGGCGGCAACTGGGAGGAACCCCGCCCAGCCTAGGCGACTGGCTGGCTGCTGTGAAGAAAGCTGGTGCGGCTTTAAAACCCGTGGGCGGAATGAAGCCAGTTTCCGGAACTTCATCCAGCCTCACCCTTCTTGGAAGTTGGAATATGGGCCCTTAGCGCAACGTTTTGGGAAATTCTTTGGCAGTATTTGCCAGGAGCCGAAGAGAAATGTGCATGCTCTTTGGCCCACTCATCCTCTGCGGAATTGAGCCATCCTCTGCCTGACTTCAAAGGGATCTCTCTGCAAAGCACAGTGACCTAATCCTGTCCTCACCTCCCTGCTTAAAACTCGATGACACTCTTGGTCGGGCGCGATGGCTCAAGCCTGTAATCCCCCCACTTTGGGAGGCCGAGGTGGGTGGATCACGAGGTCAAGAGATCG